CTATTTGGTTAAAAATATAGCCTCAGTGTATCATTCCCGTTCCTCGTGGTGATTTAACTCCCATCATTAAAACTATTAATGAATCACATTGGATTTATAAAATTCTTGAAGAAAATTTTAGTGAACATCCATTAAAACTATGACAACGAAGTCTGCATTATTGTAGTTTGAAATTAAAAGACCCTAATGTTATCATTAGAGTAAGACCAATGATCTAATTTGATATTCAACTTCAGCAACTTTTAGACAAAAAATTAATCGAAGAAACTAGAAGCCCTCACTCTAATCTAACTTTTATGGTAAGAAACCATACTGAAATTAAAAGAAAAAAAGTCCGAATGGTAGTTAACTATAAACGGCTAAATGAAAATTTAGAATTTGATGGATATTTTATTTCAAGAAAAGATGTTTTGATTAACTTAACCAAATGATCAAAAATCTTTAGCAAATTTGATTGTAAGAGTAGATTATGGCAAATTCAATTGACTGAAGAGTCAAAAAAATTGACAGCTTTCAATACACCTAGAGGACATTACTACTAGAATGTTATGCCTTTTGGGTTAAATATAGCACTACCGGTATTTCAACAGTGGATAGATACAATTTTTAAAGATCTTAAAGATTGTCATATAGCTTATATTGATGATATACTTATCTTCTCCAAAACCCGGGAGGAGCATAAGAAATATTTAAAATTACTTTGTGAAAATTCCAAACACATGGAATTATTTTGTCTCCAAAAAAGATTGAACAAGAAAAAGAATCAATTGAATTTTGGGGAATAATTTTAGACCAAAAAGGTTTAAAATTACAAGAACATATTTTGTCCAAAGTACGAGATTTTCCTGATACTCTTGAAAATATAACACAATTACAGAGTTTATTACGTATTTTAAATTATAGACAAAATTTTATCAAAAATCTTTCAAAAATAGAAATTCCTTGGTTCACCAAATTAAGGAAAAATGTTTTTTTTTTAATGGATAGCAGAAGATGTTGCTTTAATTAAACAAATTAAAGAAAATGTTAAAACTCTACCAGATGTTTATCTTTCTAAAACAGGTGATAAATCAATTTTAGAAACAGATACCTCGGAAGCATGCTGGGGATGTGTTCTTAAAGCAATACCAAGTAATTTATGACATGATAAAAAGATACCTTTATTAGAAAATGAGATTAGACCAAGAAAAAATTCAATACACATAAAATTACAAAAAAAAAATTAATTAATTTATGGATATAATTCTAGAACATTTAAACGAAATGAACAGAAATGTATTGTTTTTGAAAAAGAATTGCTTGCGATAAAATTGGCAATAAAAAGTTTTCATATTCATTTAGCCCTAGAAAATTTTATTGTACGCACTGATAATAAGGCAGCAAGAGATTTCTTGATCAATAAAAAATCTATTGAGCAAGGAAGAAGATTAGCCTGGTATGATAAAATTTCTGAATATACTTTTGAGGTATAACATCTTAAAAGTACTAACAATTTTCTTGCAGATTTTCTTAGTAGGAATTGTTTCAAGAAAATTAAATTACTAAACAAGTAATTTTAATTTTTACAAAAGACCTCTAGACAAAGAGGAAACAATGGATAAGGGTAAATAATCTGCTCAAGGAGATTGGGAGACAATTGCTAAAAAAGCAATCCCTAGACAAGAAAAAGTTTGTTGTTTTTTCAGGAAGACAATCTGGAATTTACATAGAATGGAATGATTGCAAAACGCAAGTTTGAGAATTTTCAGGAGCAAGCTATAAATCTTATGATAGTATGATCAAAGCTAAAAAAAAGCTTTTTACAGTGTACCAACTATGCCTGTTTTTCAAAATAATTTTTGTCAAATAAGAACTAACCCAGTTCCAACTAATATTCAGACATCTAAACCAGATGAATCTGAGATAAAAGATTTTCTCAACCCTGGTATATCCAGAGAAATTTATACATAATTTAATGGAGTTTGGAAAACTCACATTGTAGACAACAAAGTGAAATTTCGAAAACACATGGGAGTTCTGGCCAACAAATTAGTTGAGCAAACAACTAAATTAAAAGATTTGCAAAATCTTTGTTTCAATATCCTTAAACAAATGAATTGGAATGAAGATTTTAATTTTGAAAAAATAAACAATTTTCTTTAGCTATCAGACCTCATATCAAATGAGTTTTCTAATCCAATTTTTGAACAAATAAAAAAAAATTGTCTTTTTGAAAAAGCAAAAACTTTGTTTCCAAAGGAAATTTTTATGATAATAAAAAATCGAGTTGAGGATCATCGTGATAAGATTAGACAAATCTTAGAACGATCCTATGATAAATTAAATTTTAAAGATGGAATTCCCAAAATAACCCTCATGGCAAACTAATCAAGTTAGTTTTCAAATTTTAGATCCAATCCAATGGATAGAATATCCAATGATCATAAAAGCAATGCTCTCATGGGTAGTAAAAGGCTTCCGATGGAGTAAATATTTTACTTTCTAGATCTCTAACACTGTTGGTTGGCGAGAACGAGAACATTTTTTCCAACCATACCAAATTTGGTATCTTAATGAAACTGAAGATTTTGAATTTGAAGATGATTATTTGGATGAAGATCGCAGGAGGAAGCGATTGGAAACCAATCAAAAACTTTCTTTAACAGAATATTGGATAGACAATCTTCTATTTCACAAGCAGCTTCTAATATCCATGGCTTTGCAACGTTGCCATTTATCGTCACAGATGGTAGAATATTATTTGTAACTCACTTTCCCATAATATATCAAAGGTTTCTTGTACAAATTAATGAGGTTCTTGACATGTTATTAAATCTCAAAAAAAGAAATAATTTGGATCTTCCGTTGGAACTAGTGATGACCGTGGATGATGTAGAACATTTTGGAATGAGCAATACAGTTAGGATTCTGATTCTCCTCCATCAGAGAATGATGAAGAGTGTCACAATCTCATCAACATGATGGAAGCATAATGGACCCCACTATCACATGCAGTTGTCTCCTGATCGACTCCAACCTTACCTAGGACACATGAAGCAACCTGCATTATTAGGCGGAAAGTGGTCAGACAAATCTTTTCAGCCGACACTACAAGACAGAAAAGATCAGCCAAATTTTATCTGTTTCAATCTATTCCTTTGAAAACCGGGGAGAGTAGACAATATATATAATTGTAGTTTGTCAGAATATGGCAAATAATTATAGGCTTTTTACTTTTTTTTCTCTGTTTGTATTTATTTTTATGTAAGACATTTTATAAAGCCTATGACTAGATTTGACTAGGTAGTTAGAATTTTGTGCAAACTTTGGCTATAAATTTAACCAAGTTAAGTATGCATTAAATTTTTGATTTTTTTTTGTATCCATATGATATTCTATATATTGACTTTTACGCCAACATAATAAACAATATAAATTTTTTCCATCTTATTCATTGCCTAACTTCTCATTTTCTTTTTATTACTTAACTTGATAAAAATAGTAAAACATAAATAGTATAAAGCTCTGTACCAGGATTCCCATAAAGATGGAGTTCGGATCCTCGGCCGCACAAGTCTGCAGCCATCCCTGCGGCACCCCCAAAACGACGTCATTTTGGGAAAAATTTCAATTTAAAAAAAAAAAAAAAAAAACAGAACAGAAACCAGAGGGGATGGGAAGAAGAGAGTGAGGAAGGGAGAAGAAGGAAGAGGGCGCCGCCGCAGTCGCCGGTGGCGCAGTGGCCTCGGAAGGTGGCGAGGTCATGTAATGAACAATATAGATTAATGGGTAATAGTTCTATCACCATCTTGGTTGTCTATATATATGTATGTATAAAGTACACCCATGTTAGAAAAAACCGAGTACAAAGCCGGCCACAACTTTCTCACATCAACAACACTGCAAATTATCTTTCTCCATTATCATCTTTTGTTCTTGTTTATTGATTTTGATTTGGGTTTTTCTTTCTCTTGATTGAGCTTATTGGGTTTAGATTTATTTATGTATAGAGAGAAGATGAATCATCTGATTTTTCGATCCATTTTTGATACGATGAGTGGGAGGAGAATATGAAGAAGAGTTTATCCATTTCTGGGTTACATCGAAATTGATTTTAAGAAAGAAAAATAAATAAATAAATAAATAAAAGGGATTTTGGAAGAGGGGTTTTAGATTTAGGAGGGAGAAGATAAATGGGTTGTTTTTCGTGTTTTGATTCAAGGGAAGATGAAAAACCCAATCTTCATAATGAAAGAGATCATCCCAATGAAAGCCTCCCAACAGCTCCTTCCAACAAATTTAGATTGTCTTCTGGTTAGTCTCCTCCCTCTCTCTCTATGTGCATGGTTGTTTGATCTGGGCATCTCGATTTTGTCAATAACTTTCATATTTGTTTGATCTGGGCATCTCGGTTTTGTCAATAACTTTCATATTTGTTTTTTCAGATTATTTTAGTTGATTTAATCTAATCAGATTGATGATGTTTTCTTTTTGTTTAATTTGATATAGGCCCAACAAAACTTAGTTGCAGTTCACTCCCTTCTTCTCCCCTCTTCTTCTCCCTTCCTTTCTCTCTTCTTCCCCTCCTCTTTGATTTCTGTTCTACCTTCTTTTTTTTTTAAATTGAATTTTTTTTTAAAACAACGTCATTTTAGAAGTGCCGCGGGCTCGTGCGACCGAAGATTCGGACTCATAAAGATGATAGCCTTTTTTAGTGGAAAAGCCTAAAGCTTACGGGCCCATGGTCTAGAAATATCCACCTCCACGATTTTCCCTTCAGTGGGACCCTTTGCAACGATTTCCATTTCCACTCCAAAAACCCAACAAACTTCTTCGCTGCTTTCAATTTCAGGTTGTCTCGGAAGTAGATGTTTTAATTTTTAGTTATTTTAATAAATTAAAATAATTATGATTAAAAAAAATTAATTTTTTTTTATAATTAAATATAATATTTATAAAAATAATAAAATAATTATAAATTTAATAGATGTTTTATATTATTAGTTATTTTAATTTATTTTATATTTTAATACTATTTTAATTTTTTTAAAAAGAACTTATTGCCCAAAAAACACCCAAAGCCATCAATCAGGTTTGCTTATTTCTCAATTTTTTCATCTGGGTCTGCTTCATTACTCACTAATAAGTGGTCTCAGTTCTTCGAGTCTCTCGGAAGCAAATCGTTGAACAGTTAATGGGGTCTATTGGGTCTCTTACCATGGAAAGTTCAGTTCTTGTCCATAATGGGAATCACGGGCGTCCGAGGTTACCTTTGTTTGCTTATCGGCTGAGGAGCTCTCTTGATTCTGCGGATTCGAATGTTTCGGCATTTGGGTATGCGAAAGTTTTGTTTAAAGATGTTGCTGGGGCGTCTTTGTGCTATGCGAGATTGATGAGCGGATGTAGAGAAACACGGCGGCGAAGCATGAAGCGTTTGAAAGCAACAGAGAAGGGGCCTGGGGAAGGTGAGGATGGGGACGAACCAGTGGATACTCTTCAGGCCGCAATTGGAAAGAGCAAGAAGGCTCTAGCCATGCAAAGAGACTTAATGCAACAGGTACTTTTCTTCATCGCTCTAATTGTAATGTTTCATTTTAACTGAACCACAGGCCATTGCTTTCGAGCAGTGAATTTCTGTTAAGGTTTCCATGTAAAAGAAGTGCAATTCAAAGCAATATGGCCCCTCCTTTCTTTTTAATCACTCATATATGTAGCCATCTCAACATATGCTAAAAAATATTCTTTCTTGAATACTAACGTTCTGCCATAGAACATTGGCTGGTTGTTTAGATACCCAATAGTATGTGCTAGATTATGTTACTATTGTATCAGTCACACTCTCGTGATGATCTATCACAAGATTTCAGACTGTTGTTTCATTTTCCAGTAATGAAGATTGTAATATATCTGTTTCTTAATTTTGACTCAGTGAGGATAGCATCTGAATTTGAACACTGTAGATTGTATGTTGTTTTTGTTTCTGTAGCCATACTTTACGTTAGGGTGGAGATTGGGGGAGAATGGACACAATAATGCTAGCCTTCATGGCTTGATTGTATTCCAGCTGCTGGTTGCTAGTCTGGTGGCCATCGATTTCCTTTCAACAAATATACTCTTTTTTCCATTAAAAAAAGCAGAGTTTAATTCCCTTTTCTATTAGGAAATCAAAATCTGATTATCCCAAGCTTTATAGATTCTCTCCTCATTCATTTTTTTGTTGTAGAAAACATGCATTTAAATAAAACAAATAAATTCATATTTAATAAATTAAATTACAGAACAAGAAAAACATGCTAGAAAGTTCACCCAGATTGAACATAAATATATTATACAATAAAATGGTAAAGGAAAACAAACCGAAACCTGTGTGATACCACATTCTCCTTAAAACAGATTCGCTACCTCACCGTGGGTGTTGGAGGTATGTCGGCGTCTGTCTCTTAGGATACGACGGCTTAAATCCGCTAACGCAGAAGTATCTTCTGTTAGCTTTGGCAAACTGACAATGACAGCAAGCAAAAAATTCTATGTATCAACCAAAGAAGTTGGTCTCTATTTATACACCATGGGGAGAGAGGAGGAGCCTCTAATCATGAAGGCTAGTAACCAATGCAACCCATTACTCCTGCAAAACTGTTAGAGTAATGCATAAAATTGATGGGGATTAATGTGTGAGTTACACACAATAAAGGACAAGGTTCTTACGAATATTCGGCACATATAGGATATCATTTAGAGCCAGCTCTTTTCCTGAAATCATCTTCAAGACCACCTCGCCTTTACCCTCAACAGCTGAGGTCGCAGAATTCCCCATAAACAACTTCTCACCGTTTGAAACTGATTCGAAAGTTGTGAACATCTTCTTTTTCACAAAGATGTAGCGAGTGGCCCTAGTGTCTACCCACCATTCCTTCGGATTGGACCCCACCATGTTCACCTCTGAGATGACTGCAGACTGATGCATGTTGTTCACATCTTGAGACAAATCCTCCATCTTAGCCACGTGAGCCTGGCTTTTGTTCTGTGGAATGTACTTCTTGTAGGGTTTCTTCTTCTTACGGCAGTCAACTGCCCGATGCCCATCGCTTCCGCATTTGAAGCCCTTTCCATTGAACCTACAAGTAGGTTCCTGCGGCTTGTAGACCGGCCTTTTAGAGACATCGCCTCTTGCCTCTAGCTTTGAGCTTTTGCCTGTCGCTGATTTCTTTTTTACCCTTGAGGACTGACCATGCTCAACCACATTTGCTTTCACAGTGGAGGTATTCCCCCCAGTCCTCCTGTTGTCTTCCTTAATCCGGAGCCTGACAACGAGCTCTTTGACTGTCATCTCCTTTTGTTTATGCTTCAAGTAGTTCTTGAAGTCTTTCCAACTATTAGGCAGCTTCTCAATCAACGCAGCTACCTGGAATAATTCACTTAGGAACATTCCTTCTGCATGAATCTCGTGCAGAATTACTTGGAACTCTTGGACTTGACTAATGACGGTTTTTGAGTCTACCATTTTGAAGTCCAGAAACCGACTAACGACAAATTTCTTCGCCCCAGCATCCTCAATCTTGTACTTCTTGTCCAAAGCATCCCACAGCTCCTTTGCCAACTTCTTGGCATAAAACACGTTGAAAAGTGAATCTGCCAAGCCATTCAGAATATAGTTTCGGCAAAGGAAGTCTGACTGCTTCTAAGCATCTAGAGCAATGAGTTTTTGCTTGTCTTGCTCATTGTCCTCCACGGCTAGTGGATTCTTACTCAAAAACCTTACAAGGCTAAGAGTAGTCAGGTAGAACAATACTTTCTGCTGCCACCTCTTGAATTTCACTCTCGTGAATTTCTCTGGGCACTCATGGTGGTTAAGCGGGTCTCCCGGAACAGCAGGAGCGGCAACAAGGTTGACCACAAAGGTCACAGTAGCAAGGGTTGGCAAGCCAGTTTCCCCAAGGTTCTGATCCCCGCCAACATTAGCAACAGCAGCATCGGTAACAGTTGCCATTTCTAAAAAATACATCAGAATTTCACTATTTGCTTTTCCAGAAATTAAACTTAACACTAGAAAATCCCAGAGTTGGCAATTTAATTCAAACTAGCCTCACCACTTCCTTAGAATCGAACATGGTTAGGAATGTTTTCAGAAAGACTGGAGGGGGTCACATCAATCCCACTTAAAACCCAGTTAACCTTAGACAAAACTTTCAAGAGTATGTTGATTCCTAATCCATGAGAAACAATTTTTAGAATTAAGTTTTCTAGGGGGATGAACTAGGTTAAAACAAACCAAATTCCAAACTGATATGCAATTAAAAAATTGCTAAAAATTACAAGCAATTAAAAAAAAAAAATTTGTTACAACAATTATAAGCAAACAAAACTTGCTTCTACAAATTGGTAAACAACCACTATTAAAACTCAAGTAAAAATTGCTTCTTTTTTTTTTTCCTTTTTTTTTTGATTCAAAGGAAGTTCAGACAAACAAAAGAACAGAAACAGGAAAATAAAGAGAAACAAATATATGAAGAACTAATCCCTCAGCACACTAACTCCAGTCATGTCATCAATGATCAGAGCCTTCACTTCTTCCGGAGGTTCTTCAAGCACCAGTACATGTTCATCTTGGGCAACTCCCATATTTGTAAGAAGATCAGCACATTTGTTGCCCTCCCTTAGGTTATGTCGCAGGGAGCAGTTGCACCTTTTCAACAGGAATTTTGCATCTTCTATTAGAGCTTTATATGGTGAGTTAAGGCATGGATCTTTCTGTATTTGGTTGATAGCCAGATCTAAATCAGATTCGATATCCACTCCCTTGGTGCCTTTCTGGAATAAGATTGTGAGTCCTCTGTAAATAGCCCACAGTTCCGCTTCGAGACTGGAGCAATGTCCCAGTTAAAATTGCTTCAACTAAAAGAAAAGTAACCAATCCTTGAAGATTCTATTAGATCCAAAATTTCTTTCCACGATTAGGTATTTTTGTTCAATCAAAAAGGTTAGTAGTCCAAATTTTTATTGCAATCCCAAATTTTATTCAATTGGATTTGTATATTTTTTTTTCCATTCCCTTGCGCATAGGTATTCTTGAAAGTTAGCAAAGAAACACAGCAAATAATTGAAAGAAACTGTAAAAGCAATAAATGTATTTAACCCTTCTTGCAATATGCTATACAAGTTACATAAATAATACTTAAAACTCCACAATTAAATATAAAATTTAATTTACTCAATAAACATGTAAATAAACATAGACAAGTTATAAAATTTTATAACTCCAAATACTTAAATTAAAAATCTAATAGGCAATAGTTATATAATTTTTTTACAAAACAATAACCATGTGAATGTTTCTAGCAATTAACACATGTAAAATATTTTAACATGTAAAATATTTTAGAAATATGGTCATGCAAATATTTTTATAAACATAAACTAAAATTTAGAAAATTTAGAACATGCAAATTATCCTACAAATCTAGGATCTAATAAACATGTGAAGTAGACTAGAATGTAAAATTATTGAACATGTTGATTATACTAGAAACTAGAAAATAATTCACATAAAAAAATTTAAACACTCATGAGCATGTAAATTATATTATAAAATTATAAAATAAAAAGAACATACAAATCATGGTAGGAAATTAAACATCATGCTCATAAAATAAAATTCTACTAGAAACAAATAAGCATGCAACTTTAGCATGCAGTTCATGTAACTAATTTCATTATTTTAATAAAACACTTTATATCACAAACAGTAACCTTATTATTAAATTGAGTGTCAAGTCAAAACCAGCATGTAAATTATTGAAAGCTATATACATGCTGTAATGGAAGGGGGGGAAAAAACACTCTAATCACGCATTTAAGTACTTGAATAAAAGAGCAGTACAATACTCTAGAATTAGACACTAATAGTTAGAAACAACTAGTATGCAAATATAATTGAATTTTTAATTATGGATTCACATATAAAACAGTGGCCTTTTATGACTGGCATGTAATGAATTCATATTTAAAACAGTGGCCTTGTACACTGTACCACGTCTTGGCTTTTCCAGAAAATAAACATAGCAATAGCAATAAGCAAGTCTAGGAGGAAATAAAATTAATTCAATTTCTTATGCAACTATAGATGCAGACTACAAATATAATAAAATCAATTAATCTATTATACACTGCAAATATGACACACTGTACAATTCTAATTATATATGAATCTATTTGTTAATTTCATGGAAACATTGAATCTATTTTAAGATTGTTGTAGAAAACATGCAATTAAATAAAACAAATAAATTCATAGTTAATAAATTAAATTATAGAACAAGAAAAACATGCTAGAAAGTACACCTAGATTGAATAGAAATACATTATACAATAAAATGGTAAAGGAAAGCAAATCGAAGCCTGTGAGACACCATAGTCTCCTTAAGATAGATTCGCCGCCTCCCTGTGGGTGCTGGAGGTACATCGGCGTCTGTCTCCCAGGATACGATTGCTTGGACCCCGTTAACGCAGAAGCACCTTCTGTTAGTTTTGGCGAACCGACAATGGCAGCATTCTTTCACACAGGAAGAAGATTATAGGAGCAAACTGACTATATACTATGAAAGGTAAAAAATTTTGTGCATTAACCACAGAAGTTGGTCTCTATTTATACACCATGGAGAAGAGAGGAGAAGCCTCCAGCCATGAAGGATAGCCACCAATGTAGCCCATTACTTCTGCAAAACTGTTGAAGTAATGCACAAAACTGATGGAGATTCAATGCGTGAGTTACACACAATATACACGTGTGTATATACCTATCTGCAGTCACTTGATAGACTTGGCCCAAAAAGATTAGATTGGTGGACCACCAATTCGGCCCAGCCCAAACCTAACCCATTCCTCAAGCCCAAGATCCGGTCCGGGGCTGGCGCGTGTAGCAATTTTTGCATAACCAACTTGGACCATAGTTTTGGTCCAAACCCATCCTTGAAGCATTCATAACTCCCTTCCTTCCAAAAATTTAGATGCCCCAAAAGGCTCATGCCCTTATCAAAATATCAAAATTTTGAGGTTTAAATACCCATTTAAGTTTTCCACTACAATCAATGTGGGATTGGTAATGATTTTTGGTCATTCTTTTTGTGGTGTAAAGATCTTGTTACAAAGAATCTAAACTCATTTAATCCCACCTCAAACAATGGTTGGGACCTACTTTAATTTCACATTAAAGTCACCATAAAACCATTTTTTCCAACAATTTTCTCATGTAGTGTTGAAATGATGCTCTTATTAAGCTTCCCTGCCCATTGCAGATTGCTGAAAGAAGGAAACTAGTTTCATCTATAAAAAGTAGTATTATTAACCTAGAAAGCGATGAAGTTTATACTACTTCAGATGGTGGTAAAGATACTAATGAAGATTACACTAGTAGTGTTTCATCAAGCAGCAATGTGAACTCAACAGTAGATAATGCACTGGAAACCCTACCTCCAGCTATTAGTCAAGATCTTGGTAAAGGTACAAAGGAACCTGAAAATGACTCATTTTTTTAAATTTTTGGTATGAGTTGTTAATTTTTTAATTTTTTTTTGTGATTTTTCAAACACAAACAAACAGAACCCACACCAAAACAACCACATCCACAGGCGGGATTTTTCTTCTCTACTCTGCCGCCGGTCTCTTCTTTTTGCCTCCGTCCTGAGCGGTCCTTGCCGGTGTTGCCTCCGTGTTTCCCACTCCACCAAGCAAGTTTCCTCCTCCCTGCTCCTCCACTACTGCATATGGTGGACCTCCAAATCGGAACATCACGGTGGCCTTCCGCTTCAGCTCCTTGTTTTCTGCCCTTAGCACGCTTATCTCTGCTCGCGCATCCTTATACATGCGTTGGAGCAGAGCCAGCTGGGAGTTTAATTGCTGCACCTCATTTGTCCTACTCTGCAGCCGGTGCGACAAGTTTGTGACCGCCGTCATGGACTCCACACATGCCTTCAAAGTATACTGATTCGCCTCCACATCCGTTTGCACTGCCATTTTTTGCTCCACCGACTGCATCGGAAAGTTCAACGGAGCAAACCCCGTGGTGTTTCGTTGAGGTTCACGGGACACCGCACCAGTTATTTCTCCTGTGGGCTCGTTCAGTTCTAGAAAGAGAGTGAGCAGGTTCTGGGTAGCTGGACGGGAAGAAGAGGCCATGTTTTGGGTTGCTAAGTGTTTCCGAGCAGGGTTTACAGAGTATTTCAGACTGCCAAAATTCAGAGGTTTCAAACTGGTTTGCACAGCCTCTGCCTTCGTCTTGGTTATATAGCCAAGGCAGCCACGCGCATCGCGCGCCTCTTGACGCCAGACAAACGGGCACGCCAGCCAAGGCACTCACGTGCCTCGCCATCATATCTGGCACGCCTTTTGATGCATCGGGCACGCCTTTTGATGGCACGCCTTTTGACAGATTGGGCACACCTTTTGAGGGCACGACTTTTGAGGGCTCGATATCTACATCCATGTATATTTTTTTGGGCAGCCTATATACACACTCATACAGTGTCTTCTACACTGGTCAGCTTTATCAATCCCTTTGTTTCAACCTCAAATATCAATCCCCCTTGGTACACCACCACAACCTTCTACAACGGTCCGGCATGACCCCATAAACTGTCTTCTACAACGGTCCGACATGACCCCATAAACTGTCCCGACATTGATTCCGATCAGCTTCTACAAACAGCGGTCTGACACGACCACACAGTGTCTGCTACAACGGTCCGACATGACCCCGTAAACTGTCTTCTACACCGGTCCTTGTATTATTAGCAATAGCCAATGGGCAATAGCACCGTATGAGTATCTAGATCTTGCTTGAGATTCTAATCACTTCATTATTGCACGTCCTCTTGTTGCTTTGTCAGATAATAATTCTCACTTATCTATACTTCCAATCTACTAAACCCTTTTGTGTGTAAGAATAATAGAATAAAAGAACTAGCAATTCTCTTAGCCCAATCAGAAGGATATTGGGGAATAATTATTTTAGTCAATAAGTTGGGGATCTATGATGCATGGACACGGGACACGACACGGACACGCGAACACACAAATTTTCAAAAAATAAGGGACATGACATGCTGGAGATACGCTCAAAATATATAATTTTTTTTGTATATATCATAAAAATAAAAATTAGAGTGGACTTCACTATTAAATGTAGAATTTAATAAGTGTTGGGTATTGAAAGAAAAAGAACATTAACAAAAGAGACGAGGAAATATTTTATTGTCTAATATATTTATTGTTCAAGCTTAATAGAAGACCCACTTGAGCCTCTCACTTTTCTTGGAAGACTAAACGAAAAAGAAAAGAGAATAGCTCTTTCTCTCTCCATTGCAAGCTCTCTATATCCATCTCAAGCTCTCTCCATCGCAGGCTCTCTCTCTTTTAAAAACATCTAGATCGCAGCTTTGAATCAAACCCTAGGGTCGTTTTCTGGGTGGAATCGACTTCGCAAAGTTGGGTTTCAGCTCTCCTTCGATTCAGTCTAGTTCGCGACTAGTGTTCACATTTCGATCTTGCTTCATGACTTGACTTGCTTCGCGAAGTTGGGTTTTAGCCCTCTCTCTCTCTCTCTCTCTCTCTCAGGCTTTCGAACAATCTCAACATGGTCCAAGATGAGTCCAAGAGGGGAAAAAGAAAAAAAAAAAAAAGACACGCCAGATTGCGTGTCGGACACATGTCCACTGCATGTTGAACACGTGTCAATGTCCACCACGTGTCCGACGCTGGTACAAAGCCCTTGGAAATGTGTCAGTGCTTCATAGTTGGGGATCATCGAAACACACACTGTCTAACGTAAAGATTGTTTTCAGTGCTAGTGACATAGATACAGAACAAAAGGGACCTAAAAAATATGAATATCTGGAGTTTAGTTTATTTTTGTATGTCATAGTGGTTGATCTGATCCGCAATGAGATTGGGAATTGTTTGATCTTCTTTCTCTAAGGAAGAGGCAAAATATTCAAACTGGCTCCAAACAAAAGCCTATGTAGTAGTGCTACACCGTGGACCACTTGCCTATCTCTCCTTCATAATAATATGGCCCTCTTGACTAAGGGAAAGCTAGCTACTCATGTAGATGAAATATAATAGCGATAAGCACCTCTCAATGTAAGTACGTTGCCACATGGCCAACTTCTTCCACCTTGTACTTGCTATTTAGGCAAACCGTATTATACATTAGCACAATTCTATTAACACGAGCCAACGACTCCATACTCAATGTTTGTTAACTAAGCTGGACACTTCCAAACTCTTTCTTATCAAACATGCATGCCCCTTGGTGACAGGAAATGGGAAGCAAGTACCTAGGTCAGAAAATGAGCCCAATAATGTATGTGAAGCTATCCAGCATGCTAGCCCTCCCTCATGTGTAGCCCTATCTTGCACATGGAGATGGAGTTTACCTCTATACTGATAGATCTGCGTCAGCAGTGGCAGCTCACACCTGAATTGGTCAATACACTGTACCTCATCCACATACCTAAAATTAGATATATATATATATATATATATATTAGCCCCAATAATTCATTCTCTTGGATTATTGCTAAGGCAATCCGAAATGAAAAAGGCAAAACAAAATAAAGATTCATTATAACATTATAAGAACAGTATTATCGATAAATAGAAACATTCCAAATACAAATATAGGCTTAAAATAGACTATTTTTTAAACTAGTCAATGATAGCCTTCCATGGATATACCTATAAGCTACCGAAAAAATTGCTAAAATAAGAGCTTGAATGGCGCTTGTAAACAATCCCAGTACCCTTGGCTGACATTCTTCAAGAATCACAAAGACCCGATTAAGTTTGAATCTGTTCAGGTGGTAGCTGGGCTCTCCTACTTCATTTTTATTTACTATATTTTTATTAGTATTTAATCTCTCTCTCTCTCTCTCTCTCTGCGTATGTCTTTGTTTTGCGTAGATGCGTAATTGTGTCTACAAGTGTGTACTCTTTTTGCATTTGATTTAGATATTGATTTATGGAGAGTTTTTTTAGGTGGGCTTGGAGATGTTGCTGGAGCATTACCAAAGGCTTTGGCTCAGCGTGGACACAGGGTTATGGTAATTTCTCTAATTTCTTCTTACAGTCAATAGCATGGCTGTATTGAAACTTGGTTGTTGCAGATGGGTAAAATCTATGCTTTTGAAATTTCAGCCTTGGAGTCCGAACTGGGTTGAGCTAAACTAGGTTTAAGTTACTGTTTTCATCATGTTTAGTCATGCCAAATGTGCTATTCTTACCATCTTGATAATAAATAGTTAATGTATTAAAAAGTTGGAATTTCTTTCTTACCCAAAAAAATAGAAGGCTTTTACTTTTCGTTTGTCAAGATGAGGGAAGTCAAATGATTAAGATTTAAGAGAATTTTAAAGAGCCTGCATTCCAACATTTTAGTCTATTTTTGGGACCAATTCAGTAGCTACAAGTTTCTTGGTTTTGTTGAGATGCATTAAGTGTTATTCCCATGTATTTACTTTTTTTCTTTGAACTTTTAGGTTGTGGCACCTTGGTATGGTAATTATGCTGAACCTCAAGATACAGGTGTTAGGAAAATGTATAGGGTGGATGGGCAGGTAACAACTGCAGCTGCACATGAATTTAACTTTTTTTGTTATTTATGTATGATCTATATAACTAAAAATTAATTGCTACTTTGTTGTCTAAATCTGCAGGATATGGAGGTGATCTACTTCCAAGCCTATATTGATGGTGTAGATTTTGTTTTTATTGACAGTCCTGTGTTTCGGCATATTGAAAATAATATATATGGAGGAAACCGTGTGGTAAGATTTCTTTTCTTGCGATGTTATCTTTAATTAGTCTCCAAGAGAAGTAGTCATAGCCTGAGCTGTTGGTGATCCTCCTTTTTATTGTTATTTTTGGAATTGACTGTTATGCATTTTGGTCCTAAACATCAAACTCATCATTTGACAATTGACACTTTGCACTCAGAAGATTAAATATTTCAGATAGTTTTTGTAACTAACTTTCCTCTCAATTATGCAGGACATTTTAAAACGTATGGTTTTATTTTGCAAAGCAGCTGTTGAGGTATGATGTTAGATTAGGTCACAAAGAATATGAATCAGGAAGTTGTCTATAATTTTATGCACAAGGGCAGATGATGAACAATGGGTATTTGCAATTTTTTGAATATATGGAAGTACCAATTGATTGATAAGGAGGACAATCAACTTGCTACTACCTGCGCCAGAATTAGAGGGAGGGGGGATAACAGATTCTATGACTCCCCCTTCTCTTTATATTTTTAAAGTCTGTCTTGTACCAATGTTAATGCTACGTAGTCTAGCATTTGTGTTGTGGTTGGCTTTATTCCCTATTGGAATTCTTCATTTCCACTTTTTGGTTAGCCCAAATATTATATGAAGTGGAGAATTGGTGACTTTCAGGTTCCTTGGCATGTTCCATGTGGTGGGGTCTGCTATGGAGATGGAAATTTGGTTTTCGTTGCCAATGATTGGCACACTGCATTGTTACCAGTTTATTTAAAGGCATACTATCGTGACCATGGATTAATGAAGTATACGAGGTCCATCATTGTGATTCATAATATAGCCCACCAGGTTTGTTCCCTAAACATTGTCAATTGTCCATTATACTCTAATGCACAATTCTGTACTGAGCTTGGCCTTGTTTAGCTGATCATCTCTCTGGCATGCACAAGATAATCATCAAGGAATTCCTTGTACATGTACTGTATGGCCTTGTTTGTTTGGGAGTAATAATCCTACAAAATCCATAATCCCATGTTTGGCTAGTCCACCCGGACATGATATCCCTTATATGGTAGACTATTGAATCTCAAGAGGGCGGGTGTGATATAAAATGAGGAATTAAGGAGAGGTTCAGGCTAATTGGCAAAATTACAAAATTTATAGAATTTTGTCTATCCCTCACAATTATGGGCCAATCCAAACAAAGTAATACAATCCAAAGGGATTGATAATCCCAAGAATGTTTTAGGAATGCTAATCTCATCTAATCCAGTCCACCCAAACAAATGTGGCCTATAGTTTCTTTGTATTAGTATTACTAAGGCTTACACTATGTCCTTAAGTAGCATAAGGTGCCGTGCAGTCAGCATGCCAAGCTAACTAAAATGTTTGTCTATTCCTTGGATCAAACTGATAGACACCCTTGAATATGGTTGTGAGGAGTGAACATGCCAAGCTTATATAATCTTCCTCAAACACCCTATCTTCATTTTTCTGAGCATTTATCATGTATAGATGTTTTCATAACCTTGAGGTTATGGGTTCAAGTTTTGGAGCCACCACTTTGTGCATTATGCCAAATGTTAGGTGTGTACTCAATATTTCCCCTCCCAAACACACATTAATGTGTACTAATTAGTTTTCAAACCGAACAGTGACCATACAAGAATGAAAAGCAGAGCTAGTGATATTGAGGATATGTTCTAAACTTGTCATAAGATATCGGACTATTTTATAAGCATATCCTCTCTATAAAAGTCTCATATAACATAGGCAGTTCAAGTTAATATCAATTGTGTAATAATCTTGATCATGTTGCTTCAGATTCCTCTTTCAAATTCTTGGTCATTTTTAAAGTAGGCATTGAACTGAGGTCATACTTGGTCATGCAGCAATCAAATCATATGATGTTTTCTGTGTTAGTTTTGAAAGAATAAATTCATCTTGTTGATTTAATCTACAGGATATTCTGAACAAATTTGCAATCATCATCATTTAGCTCTTATCAAATTCAAAGTAATATATTCTCTGTTATCCAGATGTTTCTATTTCCTGTTATAAGTGATCTGTAATTGCATCCAGGGTCGCGGTCCGGTGGATGATTTTTCCTACGTTGATCTTCCACTGCACTACGTGGACCTTTTTAAACTGTATGATCCAGTAGGAGGTGAGCACTTCAATATCTTTGCAGCTGGTCTAAAGACAGCTGACCGTATTGTTACAGTGAGTAATGGGTATGCTCAGGAGGTGAAAACTTCTGAAGGTGGTTGGGGTCTGCATGGGATAATTAATGAGAACGACTGGAAATTAAAGGGGATTGTGAATGGCATTGATACAAAAGAGTGGAACCCACAATTCGATGTTCACTTGAAATCCGATGGTTATACTAATTACTCCCTCGAGACCCTTCAGAGCGGAAAGGCCCAGTGCAAGGCAGCATTACAGAAGGAGCTTGGTTTGCCCATTCATGATAATGTCCCATTAATTGGTTTCATAGGGAGGTTAGATCACCAAAAAGGTGTCGATCTAATAGCCGAGGCAGTTCCTTGGATGATGGGTCAGGATGTGCAGCTGATCATGTTGGGCTCGGGGAGGCCCGACCTTGAACGGATGCTCAGGCAGTTCGAGTCTCAACATCATGACAAAATCCGGGGATGGGTCGGATTCTCCATAAAGACTGCTCATCGGATAACTGCGGGTTCCGACATTTTACTGATGCCATCGAGATTTGAGCCCTGTGGACTGAACCAGCTCTATGCAATGAGCTATGGGACTGTTCCCGTCGTTCATGCCGTGGGTGGACTAAGAGATACAGTGCAGCCTTTTGATCCTTATAATGAGTCGGGGCTTGGGTGGACATATGATAGGGCTGAGAAAGATAAGCTAATTCACGCATTGGGGAACTGCTTACTGACATACCGGGAGTACAAGAAGAGTTGGGAGGGGGTACGGAGGCGTGGAATGATGCAAGATCTTAGTTGGGATCATGCTGCTGAGATATATGAAGATGTCCTTGTAGCTGCCAAGTACCACTGGTGAAGGAAAGAAACAGCAATAGTTGATTGCTGGGTAAATATTGTCAGAACGTTACTTTCACTGTTTTTTTCCCAGGCTAGTAAATCGACAAGTCTGTCCGGGTTCTTTTCGACCACTGACTATCTTGTCATACAATTCTAGAGGAATGAAGCCCTGCCACAATTCAACTACTGTCGTCTTTTTTCTTTTTATTTTTTTAATAAAGAGATCATGCAGAGGGCTAACTGTGCACTTGGTGGACTGGTAGACTTGTAGTTTGTTATCATTTATATTGACTGAAATGTCACATCCTATGTACAAGATCATAATTGAAAATCCTTCACTGATGACCCTCCAAACAAAATTTTGCACTGATATTAATTCTACTCAGATCAAGGTCTCTCTTTAGATCCGGTTTAATTATGCTCGACTTAGGCCACTGAATCAAGGCATGCAAGCCTGAACTGGCAGTGAAACCCTGGGGAAGATGAATGGCCTAATCGAACAAATTAGGAGGGACCATGAGAGGTACCTTCTGACAAACTCAACTCTGTAAAGAAAGACATAATTCAGTAAAAGTTCATTACCTCGTACCCACCAGAGCATAATCAATAATGTCATACTGCAACCATGTTTCAAAGATACTATCAAAACCCACTCTTATCTCTAATCCAGATGATCACATAATGGCCTTGCAACAATACTTACCTCTTTGAGAGTGAGAGGTCTGGCCATGTCTATCAAATTGCTGAAATAAATCAGCACCTTGAATAATAATCAAGAACACAAAACGAAAACTTCGTTAAAGAGACCAGTTCCACAAGGAAAGTCACAAATACAATGAAGATACAGGTTCCATGGATAGTTTACGCCAATTGAGCCTTGTTGAGTTTTCCTTGGGATGATGTATGGTACCACTCAATGCTGGACAACTCTCAGAGAATCACCCAAGACGTCAAATCTGTATCATCATAATAGAGGGCATAGGACTCTGTCCAGGTGCAGATAGTCCACATTACGAGACAAACGGCTGCCGTTCACCAAGACTTCAGTTGTTGATTCCTGTCATCAAGTCATCAGCTTCCTTGACCTTCAGGCACCGGGCATCAGCGAAAACCATTTCTCATCATGTAAGTAGCATGGGAAACAAAACAATGAAATACTCAGCAACTTGAATTTGTTACTGAAAGTAGTGATGATAATTTTGATAAGCATGCAATGGAACCACAAGTTCATATTTCTATTCTGCCTAATCGCCAAAAACACATACCAAATTATAAGGGCATGCAATAGGGAAGGAAGAACATTTCAGAATCTTAAAGCATGAAAAATAGTTGCCTGGTAAGAAAACATGAGTCATGACATGAATTCAATCATTAAAACAATGCTCCAACTAAACTGATAACAAACAGTGACAGTGTCCATCCAGAAAAAGGTAAATCTAAATCCATCAAAGAAGCCTCAGAGCAGACTGCAATCACTCAACCACCAAATATTAGTAATTACAATCAAACTTCAATGTATGAAAACTAAAACAAAATGGCAATTGGGGATAGTTTTATTGATTTTGCCAGTCAAACGATGAAACATGTAGTACATATAAGTTACAAACGCATGCAAAGCAAATAAAGAAAACCATATCAACTCATAGTAGGTAACTTCCATGCTTTTTATTCTGAGGGGAGATCTATGTATAGGAGACTCTCCTTTCCCTATCAAACTGCAAACAGGACCGACCTGAGAAGAGCCCCGCAAATCCCTTGGATAGACAACCTTCAACGGCACATGGAGACTTTGAGCAACCTAACATGCCATTGTGTTTGACAATGTCCATGGAGTCATCTGATGCATTCCCAAGTAAATTCTCCACCCAGTTCACTGGTTTGTCAGTGACAAGAGTGTGCCTTCTCTTAGAATTCAGTAGGAGCTTGGAGCCAACAAATTTATCTGAGGATTCCAGTTCATCTCTTTGAAAGTCTTCGGATATCTTCCTCTTCAAACCTGGAAAGATTTTCAACCCTGCCATATGATCACATTGTAGTTAAGTCGAAAGACTAGTTTATATGTGAAAATTCATTACAGTCAACTTGTGGCAAAAATGAAGTATTTTCCAATATGGCAGAATACCAGGGAGAGGATCTTCAAATGGCTGGTTTTCCGATACACCACAGCTACAAAATAAGTTTGAATTGTCATTGGATCCCATGATCCTGCAATGTAAAGCACAATTTCAGGCAAATCAATTTTATCACTAAAAATAATGAAAACCCAAATATATATATATATATGAAGAAAAGTAGTGGTGCCAATCAATAGTTGTCATAAAATCAGTTTAACAGTATGTTTAAGGCCATCTCTAGGGGCCAACTACACAAATCTTTTCACCATTCAGATCAATGGAGACCATAGCTTTGCCAGTGCATAGTTTAACATCTAAAAATTTTCAGCCTTGCTATACATATCATGGCAACCGCAAAGAAAATCAGGTAGTTCAAAATGCTTTGCCCACAAAATAGATTTCTTACTTCTCATTGTGTCCTAGCACTGGATGAAACCAACAGTCACGTGGATACTATGGTTTGGTGATACCTATGAAGCACGGGTACTCTAAAAATAGTGTCGTACACGTACCGGGTACTTACCGGGTGCGGGTACGCGTACCGATACGGCTGCATGCATACCGGGTACGGCAAAAAGTAGTCGGGTACGTCTGGTTCAGTCGGGTACGGCATAGGTACGCCTTTGGTGCGTTTCGGGTACATCGGGGGCAGAAATCAAATTTTTTGGAGAATTGAGGGGTACCGGAGCAATATTAAGAAAATTTTAAAAAGAAAAAATGATATATACGAATGAAGTTTGTTTTGCCCTAATCTCATCACTTTTGCCCTATTCTCATCAGTTGAGCAACACAGCACCAAGAGGCGACATAGAAGCAAAGAGGCGACAGCGACCCAGCCATTCCCTTCCGGCGACGGCGACACAAGGAGTTCCGGTGAGTCTTCTTCCTCTTCATCTTCTTCTTCTTTGTTTCATCTTCCACCCTCGTCTTCTCTCATCTTCTTCGTTTCTTCTTCTTCATCTCATTTTTTTTTTTTTTTTTTTTTGCATCTATCAGCAAGCATCTATTTTCGTCTCCTGCATATCAGCCATACCTAGCAACCAAGCAACTGGGTATGATTTTGTTTTTTTGTTTTTTTTGTGCTTTGTTGCATAACTTGTTTTTGTCCCTGAATAACTGATCAGAATTTGTTGCATAACTGATCAGAATTTTTTTCCCCTGAATAACCTGTTTTTGTCCCTTCATTTTTTTCCCCTGGTCAGAATCTCTTCATCTTTATTTTTTTTGTTTTTTTTCTTGTTTCTTCTGTCTTCTTCAGAGAGGTATAATCTACTGTAGAACCAAAAAAAAATTAGAGAGGTATAGAACCAAGTTATTCAATCATATTTAGAACCAAAAAAAAAAATTAGATCAAAAAAATTAATAAATTAGAACACAAAAATTAATAATCAATCATACTTACATAATGTTAATAATCAAAAAAATTAATTATAACAAAATTATCCCTCAACAGAAGAATGTTAATCAAAAAAATTAATTAGAAGTTTAAAACAAAGTTATTCCTCAACAGAATGTTAATAATCACAAATATAATTTTTAATAATCAAAAATATTATTTTTTATGCTTATAGGAAAATGAGTTCATCAAGCAGTTTAGGTTCATCTGCTACAAGTGCTTCTGCTCCTTCCATTGATCAATCTAGAGATGAAAGTGCTCCTCTTTGGGGCTATGTTACAAAATTAGTTAAAAGGGGAGAAGGAGGAAGTGGTAATACAAAATTTAAGTGTAATTTTTGTAACATTGAGTACCAAGGGTCATATTCTAGAGTTAGAGCCCATTTGTTGCTACTTACTGGCCATGGAATTAGAGTGTGTGCAATTGTGAAGAACAAAAGTGATCTTCTTTCTGAAATTCGAAAGGTAGATCAAGAAGCTGAGAACCAGAAAAAAATGGCAAAGCCAAAAAATGTTCCTTTACCACCTCCATCTTCTCAAATTAGTGCTAGCCACGGCGGTATAGAAGATGTTGGAACATTTAGAATGGAAAGTATGCACCAAGAAAGAGAAAGGCAATTGGGAGTAGTCCTTTAGATAAAGCATTCAATCAAAGTGCTAGAGAACATTTACATTCTTTAATTGCTTGTATGTTCTATTCAGCCGGTTTGCCTTTCCATTTGGCTAGGAATCCATACTTTGTGGATGCTTTTCAATATGCTGCTGAGAATCAAATTGTTGGGTATGTCCCTCCTAGATATAATTTGTTGAGGACTACCTTACTTCAAAAAGAAAGAGCAAATATTGAAAGGTTATTGGAACCAACTAAAAAGTCATGGGATGAGAAGGGGTTGAGTATAGTATCTGATGGATGGACTGATGGACAAAGGAGGCCTCTCATTAATTTTATGGCAACATGTAATGGTGGAGCTATGTTTATAAAAGCTGTTAATTGTGAGGGTGAGACCCAGGACAAGTATCATATTGTCAAATTAATTAATGAAATGATTGATAAAGTGCGTCCTAATAATGTAATTCAGGTAATTACTGACAATGCTCCTGTTTGTAGTGCAGCTGGATCAATTATTCAAGGTAATTATCCGAAGATCTTTTGGACACCTTGTGTAGTGCACACTCTTAATCTTGCTCTTAAGAACATTTGTGCTACGAAGGAAATTGGAGTTGCTGCATATGCTTATGATGAATGCCCTTGGATCACTACTGTGATTGATGATGTAATGTTTGTGAAAAATTTCATCATGAATCATTCTATGAGATTAGCTATTTTTAATGAGTTTGTACCTTTGAAACTACTTTCTGTTGCAGATACACGCTTTGCATCTGCAATTGTTATGCTAAAAATGTTTAAACTTATATATTATCATGGTCTCCAAACAATGGTGATAAGTGACAAATGGGCTTCTTACAAGGAAGATGACATTGGGAAAGCAGCTATTGTAAAGAAAAAGTTGTTGAATGATGTTTGGTGGGATAAGATTGAATATATACTCTCATTCACATTGTCTATTTATGAGATGCTTAGATTTTGTGACACCGATAAGCCATGTCTACATTTGGTTTATGAGATGTGGGATTAAATGATTGAATGAGTGAAGGCATCCATCTATAGGCGTGAAGGGAAGTTAGAAAATGAAGAGTCGTCCTTTTACTCTGTAGTGCATCAAATATTAGTGGAAAGGTGGACAAAAAGTAGCACACCTCTTCAAAAGTAGCACACCTCTTCATTGCCTTGCTGATTCCTTGAATCCAAGGTATAATTCACATTAGACTCATAGTTTATACTTGAATTTTTTTCATTGCATAATTTACTTATTATTTTTTTCTAATTATGAAATCTAGGTATTATAATGGGATGTGGCTTCATGAAAATCCCATTCGTGTTCCTCCTCACAAACATGTTGAAATTTCTGAGATGAGAATCAAGTGTTTTAAGAGATACCTTCCTGATTCAGATGAGAGAAGGGTTGTTAATACAGAGTATGCAAAGTTTTCAGGTTGTTTAGAAAGTTTTAGTGACTCTGACTCAATATGTGGTAAAGGAGTAATGAAACTAGTGGTTTGGTGGTTGGCACATGGCTCTTCTGCACCTATGCTCCAATCCTTGGCAGTGAAATTACTTAGCCAACCATGTTCCTCATAATGTTGTGAAAGGAATTGGAACACCTACTCTTTCATTCACTCTATGAGGAGGAATAAAATGACACCACAACAGTGCGAGGATTTGGTTTTTGTGCACTCCAATATTCGCCTCTTATCAAGGAGGAGTCAACTATACACAGAAGGAGAGACCAAGTTATGGGACGTTGGGGGAGATGCATTTGATTCATTGGAGGGTTCTGGTTTCCTTGAAATTGCAAATCTTTCACTTGATGAGCCAGAGATGGAAGCTATTTTATTCAATGATGAAGTTGATGGAAGTGAACTTTGAAGTGTCAAGTTTAGATATATAAGGCTTTCTTTTGTTTTTTTTCCTTTGCTTGTGTTATGGACTGAATTGGCCTTGTTTTTCCTTTGCTTGGATTATGGACTGAATTAGTGTTGGTTATTTTGAATTGAAATATATTAATATTTGTCTTTTAATTTTATAGTTCTCTTTTTAGTTTTGATATTTAATTTCAATTTGTAGGTTGGATCTTTTAACCATAATTATAAAAAATAAAAAAAATATCGGCATACCGCAGACGTACCCATATCTTACTTTTTTGGAATTTTGCCGTATCGGCGTACCCGCACTCGTACCCATACCGTACTCGTACCCGCACCCGTGCTTCCTAGGGTGATACAGATACTAGTGTCAAGCGCCAATACAGACAGTTGTTGCCAATGTCTCAATGTATGTCAAAAAAAATAATTTAAAAAATAATACAATATTTTTTTAAAAAATATACATATGTACCTCAATACGCAAGTTCATACTCCTGTATCGCCTATTCCTCAATGGCATTTATTCCATTCATTTATGGAGCTGGGGCTGACCCATCTTTCAAAGTTGAATTTTAAGGTTCAAAAGACATGAGAATAAGTCTTGCAATTGGAGCATAAAGAGCTCCATGAACAAGTAAAACCGATAGGGAAGAACTCTACCTTATATATTTTATTTCTCCTACTGCTGCTATTAAGGTCAGGTAAATCCAACCTCAATGACCCGTCTTTCAAAGTTGAATTTTAAGGTTCAAAAGACATGAGAATAAGTCTTGCAATTGGAGCATAAAGAGCTCCATGAACAAGTAAAAACGATAGGGAAGAACTCTACCTTATATATTTTATTTCTCCTGCTGCTGCTATAAAGGTCAGTTTCTATGGGACAAAATTTATGGTTTCCTGTATTCAACGTTTAAGGAGGTAGATTGGGTACTGCAGCCATCTCGCATCAAGAGCCAAGAGTATCTGAATAAAGAGAATCTCTATCTATCTCTCTATCTCTTTTTGTTTGTTCCTTTTTTTTCCTATTGAATGAAACCAACAGTCAAATTTGTTTTTCTTTTTTGCTTTGGAATATATAAAATTATGAAAATGCACTTTTGATCACATCTTCAAATCAAACACATAATATCAACGAATGATTCCATCCTTTCTCAGAGCTAGCAGAGAATTAGTAATAATGAGAACAATAACAATAAAAGCAACAATGACAACAATAAAAGCAATTATGACAACAATAACAATAAAAGCAGTTACGACAACAATAACAATAAAAGGAACACACTACAAATTCTGTAAGAAAAAGATCAATGGATAGAGATCAAACCTATACATGTGCTCAACAAAGTCATCTATTAAAACAGGCCAAGCCCCTGCAGAAAAGGAATGAAAACAAGCACCATTACTTCCATTCCTAATATAGTGAGATCCAACATTTCTTTCTATTGTATATTAAAACGGAATTCTATGCTAAGCCATTAATGTTCTAGTATTATAAGAGAGTAATATTTGAGCAACTTCAACCACAGCAACAAAGTTCCTCATCAGAAACTCAACTTTTAGTGAAGGTAGCCCTTATTGATGAAAACGATGTTACAATGGAGATGAGAAACAACCTTTGGTCCCCAAGAGGAGGTGGGGCATTTAGTTCAAGACATTCAACAAGAGAAAACGACTAAGGTTTCCACACTACAAACCAAATGCAGGCATACCACAACCTTCACATCTGTGAAGAGACCACAGAGCAAGTGATCCCTTTGAATATCGATGAAAAGGAAAAAACAACAATGTTAAGTGGAAGACTCATATGAAATTAACATTGGTTTTGTTTTTTGCATTCCCACAGTAACCCTAGTCAAACTAACAACAGAAGAAGAAAATTAACGAAGTCAAAAACATGGAAGAAACAATAAAAAGGAAAATCCATGAAATAGGCTGACCAATAATAAGATAAAAAAAAAAACAATCAATAATTTTGCCTGCAGCCCAACAAAAAATGGAAGGGAAAGCAGCCGTGTACTTCCTCCTCAATAAGTCTACATACATGAATCTTTTAAAGTGCCACAGTAACCATCAAACTCAGGAACACAAGTGTCGGTCAAAGAGTTTCCAAAATAAACATCACATATAAGCAAACAAGCTGATATAAAGCAGTCAAGTGACTGCAAAACAGTACACAAAATAGAAGAACCAAACAAGCAATGCTGACAACAGCTAATAAAATAAAATGAAGAGAGATTAAGGCTCTATTTGGTTGTGAATTCAAATCATGATTCCACACCTTAATTCAAGTATGGTGTTTGCTTAGTGTTCTCAAACGATGATTCCAAAACTCTGCACAGAACACCTGCGGTTTTTCTGTTTTGACAGACGCGTTTCTCTTTTTTTTTTTGAAAATTTTGCCTGACGGGTCGTCCGGCGGTCGTCCGGCCAGTTGACCGGAATAGTGATTTTTTTTTTTTTTGCAATTGATTTATAAAATTGAAAAAAACATTTTCTGAAACTTTTAAAATTTTTTATGTACTTTAAAATAATTTTGAGTTGTATGTTTAGTTATGAGTTGTAAATTTTTATATCACATATCAAATGTCACATCAACAATTCCCCACTCAAATCAAAACTCTTTTCAAAACTCTTTACCAAATAAATTTTCTACACTCAAATCATAATTCCACAACACAAACTCAAAATACAACTCATACTCTCAAATCACATTTACAAAACTCTACCAAACGCTACCTAAGTTTCCAACATGGCCTACATGAGTGTGAAATAATGTACAAGCACCATACCTTCAGGATCATATCCTTCAAGGTTTTCATGTACACATCGGCTGAACGCTAAAACTTGCTTCCATGTGTCCTCCGATATGTTATGCCGCTGATTTTTCTAAGAGAAATTCAATAAATTAGTAATTTCATAAACTGATTGCTACTTTCTAGGGGGAAAACAGATAGAATATCAGGACAGGTATGTGGTTAAACCCAACTTGCACAGAACATCTAGAAAACCCAGTTTAAAACACTGCCAAATGCAAGGAAAAAATGGCATAACATTTGGGCACACTGTTTAGAGTATTATAAATTAAATAAATTACATGAAACAATGTCTTTGTTATGCAACCATATGAACATTATGCTTTGAAGTTCTGATATACACAAAAAATAGTAAGCTCCACCACAAGAGTATTTCTACAGTCATTATGCTTTGAAGTTCTGATATACACAAAAAATAGTAAGCTCCACCACAAGAGTATTTCTACAGTCCTAGTGTGGACTTTCTAAATCTAAAATATGTAAAATCCAGAGATAATGGGTATGTTTGGTTTGCATTTGGGAGATGAGTTTTAGAAAAAAAATTCTAAAAAATTGTTTGGCTTGAGTTTTTCTCAAAAAATTTCCAAAATCACTTTCTCTCTCTTACACATCAATCAATCACTTTTTCTCTCACACACATCTACTCAAATTCTCCCAAAATATCAAATCATCCCAAACTCCCAAAAAAACAACTCTCCTAAAATATACAACCAAACAAACCAAAAAAATTTCTAAACTCTCTCCCACTGTTTAGAGTATTATAAATTAAATAAATTACATGAAACAATGTCTTTGTTATGCAACCATATGAACATTATGCTTTGAAGTTCTGATATACACAAAAAATAGTAAGCTCCACCACAAGAGTATTTCTACAGTCGTAGTGTGGACTTTCTAAATCTAAAATATGTAAAATCCAGAGATAATCTCTTTGAGCCAAATGTAACGAACAAAACACTTTTGAGGTTCAAGTTCAACTTTGTATTGAACAGAATCATGGAAAATGCTTTGAAGCTTCCATATTGTCCACATTACGCTACCCACTTGAACCATTAAAAATGAAAGATCTTTAAAAAAAAAATTCCCATCCTTCAATTCCTAAGAGGAAAGCCGAAATCTAGAATAAATATCTTTTTCCTATGGATTTGCTCTTGCCTTGGTAGTTTTTCTTTAATTTCTTTGGGATTCATTTCATATGTTAAAAAATGTTCCCATCCCAATTGAAACCACAATTCTATCTCAACGCAAACACAATTCTATCTTGATTTGATAGTCACTCCAATGGTGAGAATCAAAATTTTCATCAAATCTATTTAAAGATACCTAGCCTATTCCAAAAACTTCCTTCAACCAATTTTGGTGAAAAAACCATCTCCAATCCTTATCTTTTAATAATTTCATCAAACTTAAGTGAAAAAAGGCTTCTTGAAAATTTGGTGAAAGATTTGGTTCATCTTTGATTTGACAAAAAAAGGTGCTTTTCCCTTGATTTGATACAAGTTTAACGAAAGGATTGGACATCATTTTCATCAAAATTTTCATCAAATTTAAATTTGACGAAGGATTTGGTGAAGGGATGGAGATGCCATGAATCCTTTAATTATGTATCTTAAATAAAAGACTCCTCACATGTCCTCGAATTCTTTTTATCTTTTTATCTTTTCCTAACTCAGTTCATTAAAATTGAACACCAAATTGAAAATAATACCTAGCACCTGTACTGATTTCAACACTCACAACCGACATGTATAAAGAACGTGAGGGATCTGATATCTAACTTGTGAAGAGAAGAAAAGACACAATGATGGCATTAAAGAAATCATAGTTGGCTATACCACAGGAGAAAGATCTACTGTGAATATGTAAGTGAATGAACAACTAGATTTGATATATGCATGCCGGTTGCATACATGAAACTCTATAAAGAAAGGGCAAGTACAGATCACCAATGATCATACAAAATATTTATAGACAGCAGGCATTTAAACTATCAGTATAATAATTTTGCAAAAGACGTTAACCAGCCAATGGAACTTTTGAGGAAATATTTAGAACAATGTAAGAAAGACAAACATAGAATTTGCCATTCTTTTTTTAATCTTTTACCGTATAAATATAAAACTAACCATATCTCTATAGACATGGTGAACATTGAGTTTTTTTGACATAATATCATCATACCTCCACAAAATCGCACCATTGGTTTAGCAGTCTAAACCTTCCTGCTAACACTATTCTCCAACAAGTTACTGCCTTACTTACAGCTGAAAAATATTCAGAAGAGAAAGAGTGGGGTGCAGTTCAAGTTAGATATCTATAACCCACATTTTGACTCCAGATGGTAAGAACACATTACAATACTTACTGATATTCTTTTGACCATTTTCACGGCAAATGAAGAACACAAAATCATAGAAGCGTGAGAACTCTGAAAAGTCAACCTACAAACAAAAAAAATGTCCAGGTAAAATCTACTACTGCATATCATCTGGGTTCCAAAGGAGATATACAACAGACAGAGAGGAGACAATGGTGGATATGCTTCAGGTGAGACTGGCAATGAATACTGAATAATAAAAAGCAATTAAGCATAAAAGACAAACATGTTCAACTAGACATATCAAAGTACAATATCTCACCATCAAGTCTAGCCCTGACATGAGCTGGAAGATTTCATCGAAAATCGACACCCTGTCACAAGAATAATGTCTTTCATGAAAATTGAAAAAATTTTAAATTGTTTAAAAAATGCAATCAAATGCTAATTTAACAGGAAAAATTTCAAAAGTAAATGCACAAATAAAATAGAAGACGAAGGTGGAGATAATGCCAAAATAGTTAGAATCTCAATATACTTCTTCACAAACATCAAGGCCATGCTACATGGACTCTTCATAATAACTTAAACAAACGTGTTGGACACCTGACACTAGGATAAGGGTGTAGGATATGTGTCTGATACTTTCCACTGAACACTTCTTTAACACTATCATTAAAAATAGTGTTAAATATTGTATGTCACATGTAACACTATTTTCTTTCACATAATAATAATAGATTAAAAATATGAAAATATGACCATATTTTACCGAGTCTGCATACCCTTAAATTCTAAGTTTGATGGGTCCAACCTCTAGATAAGCACATGCACCCGACACTAGGAGTGTTCAAAAAAGCGATTGACCCGACTAACCCGCTCAATCTGAATTGAACCGACGCTCTACGGTCGGCTTCATCACCACAAATGGTCAGCTATGGTTTCAAATCTTTCAAAACCATTGATTTTCAGTCGGTCAACAGTTCCAAGAACAAAATACATCTGCCATTTTTCTATTGGCAATTAAAGTTGCACATTATTACTAAATACATCTGCCATTTTTCTATTGGCCCTTGGGTATTACACTTATCACTTCCACTTAATTACTTTGCCAATATCAGTGCAAGTCTTAAAAGCAAACCCATGTGATGTATCGCATATATCAAATCATTCAACCTTTTCTCTTCCTTCACAAATAAATTTTCAGTTTTCAGTTCAAACATCTCTTTCTTTTTCTTTTTTTTTGATAAACAGTGTTCTCTTTCTTTCTTTTTTTCTCTCTCTCTCCACAAGCAGTCAAGCAACTCTTCATCTCTCTACAAACTGTTGGTGGCGATGAAGCAACAAGAAGATTGGCTGTGGCGATGCTTGATGCAATCTCAGTGGGACGGCAACATGTAACTCACTTCCTCTCTCCCTCTCTGATCTCATTCCTCCATCTACCCTCATGAAACCCCTTCTACTTCCTCCCCTCTACAATTTACGTCCCCTCCTGAAGCCCCCTTTTCTCAATCCTCAACCTTTTTCTAAGATTAAAACAAATGTCAGATGTTGCTCGCCCAAACCGAAAGTCAACCGTTGAAGATAGATCCGATGCTTTGTAGTTTTGACAAGTGCTCAGTCGGAATTGGGTGCTTTTTTTCCATACCTGATCTAGTCAGGTCGAGTGACGGTTTGATAGTAAACCCGAGCCAACTCGACCCGTGAACAGCCCTACCCGACATTCATACCTGAGTCCGTGTAACTTAAAGTGAAACAACTTATGTTGATTGGAGAAAAAAAAAATATGTGAACAAATCCTAAAAGTTCACATATATTCAATGTTTGTCCAAGAACAATTTAACTTAAAAATAAAAAGCAATACAACCTAATGGGTCCAACCTCTTCATTAGTTAATAAAATTCTATACTAACTTGAATGCAAGATAGGAAATGTTTTAAACTCTATATTTCACATGATAAGCATTTGGCTTGATATGTCATACTCTCACTAATCCTTTCACTTGTCCAAAATTTTTGGGTGAAAAAATCTTCACAAAGACAACAATGATGCCTCAAAGATTGGTTAGTACTCTCATATACTCTCAAATTCCTTAAATTGTAGCACTTACTTTTGCATTTTAACAAAATCCATTCTGCCTTTTCAAAAAATAAAATAAAATAAAATTTGTTCTCTCAAATTTCTTCCGTAAATTATAAAATTTCCCCTTCATCTCTTGACATATTTGACATGTATTTCTTCGCAATAACATCCTCTCCAAAACAGAGCTGTGAGCAAGCTAGTACGCATATTATGCAACACAGTATACTATATGTTGAAACCACAAATTTGTATTAGTCGTATGATTTGAATCCACATCCTGTAGAAACTTCACACATTTATTTCATGTGATACAACAACCACATCCCCCCCACCCCCCAATAAATACTGGCTAGTTGTATACTCCCTCCGTCCCATAATATTAGTCCCTTATTCCATTTTTCATTGTCCCAAAATATTAGTCCCTCTTCAAAAATCAAGTACAAAAATAATATAAATTTCCCATTTTGCCCTTCTTTTAAATTCATAAATAATATAAAAAGTACAATGAAACCACAAATTTGTATTAGTCGTATGATTTGAATCCACATCCTGTAGAAACTTCACACATTTATTTCATGTGATACAACAACCACATCCCCCCCACCCCCCAATAAATACTGGCTAGTTGTATATTTAAAATAAAAACTATAAATTTTCTTCATGCTCAAGCTAAATTTTCCCTACTGCCAAAAAGAAAAGAAAAATAAATATTCGAAAAATTTCATCAAACTTCAAATCTTTGTTCCCATCCACCACCTTATCAACACTAATTTCAATAAACCTCTCCCATTGCGGCAAAAAATTAAAAATTAAATTAAATGGTTTTCAAAAATAGTAATCTCAAAGTTATTATTGCAAGCCTAACCAGAGAACTCAAATCAGCTATCATGAATCCAAAGTAATTGAACCTGTAAAACTCATTTGAAACTTGAGTTGGTCAAACCACACCTAAACTGTCCAACTTTAAATTTTGAGCTTCATCAGCCTCCATGTTTCCACAATGTTGCACAGACATACCTTGTATGCACCCTTGACTCCACCAATTTCAAGAGATGACTCAATGCCTCTCTTGATAAATTGCCTTTCTGTGATTCATCACATGGTCTGTGGCCTTCCTCCCCACAAGCATACGCACCTGATGTAATGTCTGCAAAAGACGGCTCATAAATTGAATCTATCAAAAGAGATACCCATGGACTATAGGTGCACATAAACTAAATAGGATTGATTGATTGACGAAAACCATGCAAGATGCAGTGTTCAGAAAAACTTCTGCGTCATGAACATCATTATTTCTTATAAATTACTACATGTACATGCTATATTATTAATTTATTGAGTGTCTTTAGTGCACCCATTCCACTGCATAGAATCATAAATTCTTATTGAGCCAAAGAATACTAAGTGTCATAGGCATCAATATAGCCAATTCAGGATAAACATTCTCTATGCATAATGATGAATGCGAATTTGTCCTGCATATAAAAGGAAACAACAAACATGCACACCATTCAAACTTCTTAAATGTCCGGTCAAGCTCTAAATATTTGATTAATTTCTTGATCAACTTAAACAATTCAATCTAAGAAAGCCTAGTATCACAATTACTAAGGGTTGACAACAAAAATCATTTCTCATTAATCATCTCCATATATGGCTAGATTTGTACAAATTTATTAAATCATAAAAAATAAAAATAAAAAGAGAATTCCATTGATTTTCCGATAAACAGAACCAACATTCTTCTTAATCGTTTTGTTAAATCATTAGTGTGCTTTACTTAAATCCAATACATCCTTCCTTCTAATTAGATAGTCTTCATTGCTCAAAATCGTATATTGTTTTCAACAATCACACCGACCCAAAAAAAAAGAATTGTTTCACTATGGCAATAACGAAGTGCAAATCTCGGATAAGATACATTCGAATATTAATTATTCAATCATCATCAAAGATTACATGTATAAGCTCCGAAGCTTCAGCTTTAATTCAAAACAAACATCGATTGTCACCGAACAATTAATCACAAAAAAAAAAAAAAAAAACATGAAATGGGTTGAAAAAAAATCGGTAACTTACCACGATATCGTCTATAAATCTCATAAATATCAAATTGAATTGAATCGGACGAGTCCATGGCGGAATAGTATGGAAGCTGAACAGAACTAGGGATCCTTGAGCACAGAGATCCCTAGCTGATTCGCGGGTTGAAAAAAATGAAACCCTAGAAGAACTCAATAAAAGCTATACAGAGAGAGTATCTGTCTTTGTTTGAGGGTGAGGGTGAGGGTGAGGGTGAGGGTGTGGGTGGGTGTGTGTGTGTGTATTACGCAAGGTCGCCATAGATTGATATTTGATTATATTGTGAAACTCCTCTTCCACCTGGAAAGAGAGAATGAGGTGTTGCCGTTCCGCGGCGTGTACACGTAACACGGTGTTAATTCGAGTGAGTGAGTGAAAATAGCATTCGAAACGCACCGGGTTTTATGTCGAACCGGATCTCATGTCGGTTCGGTTTTTTTTGCTACCTTCCGGTTTAGTCAGTCCTCTTGTTTTCTCGATCTGATTTTTTAGTGTCTCTTTAGTCCCACTCCGCTATCAATTCTCTCCCTATAACCCCAAACAACGGGGCTTTTGAGATTTAGGGATTGTTTGTGTTTGTTTATTTAGTATATTTTTTTTTTATTTTTTATAAAAAGTTACGTGAAAAAATAGAAAGTTAGGTCTTGTTAGGCAATTCATTATTTTAGGTTGAAAGTTAAAAAGTTACTAAAAAATTTTAAAAGTCAGCAATCTATATTAAAAAATTAAAATTTTATTTTCTCTCTATTTTTTGCATATATTTTCATAAAAAATTAAAAAATCATTCTACACATACTAAGCCTTCGTTTGGCATATGAATTTTTAGGATTAAAATACTAAAATAGTCACAAAAAGACAAAATAAACTAAAAAGTCGATAAGATAAAACGTCACACTCAGACCATAATTATTTTATTTTTTCTCTCATACAAGTCAAAAAAGTAAAAAAACTCATCCCAAATAAAGCTTTTTAAAAAAGTCAAAAGGCAACCCACATATTACATCATATTTTAACAAAAAAAATTAAAAATTTACTAAAATAATTTATTCCCAAACGTAATATAATCTAAGTAAGTGCACATATTTAGATTATTCTCAAACAATCTCTTACTTAGGGTTCGTTTGGGAAGCAGATTGACTTTTTGACTTTTTTATTTTTTGACTATTTTAACCGACATCACGTGGTCATTGGTTGGATTTATTTCATGTCACCAAAGAAACCATCAAAAGAGGCTACATCTGTATACTATTCCCCGTGCTACATCTGTATACTTCATAAATGTACAGTCAAAAGGGGCTTCTTTTTTTGAAATTGCAAAAAAAAAAAAAAAACCCAAACCCAAACTCAAATTTTCCGAACGTGGTGATTTTTATTTCTTTTCATCTATAATGATGTTTTTTTGTTAACAACATTTGTATTCAGCTTGACGAGACAAATTAAAATATTTAAAAAAATTTTAAAAAATTAGAAAACACAATAAGTAAGCAAAAAGTAAGAGATTTTTTATAGATTCATTTACTCAAGACAAATTAAAAAATAAATAATTTTTGACATAATTTTTTTTAAAAATACTAAAGACAAAAAAATGAAAAAAATATGATTTTTTAGGTGTTGCCAAACAACATTTCTAAAAAAATTAATCTAAAATTTTGTTTAGTGAAAATTATTATTATTTTATTTAACTAATTTATATTTTAAAACATATATAAAACAGTTAAATTATATTTACAATTTCGCTCCATTTGTTTTGACAGAAAATATTTTTAATTAAAAATATTTTTTATCGAAAAATGTTTGGTGGTAGCGGCGAACCAAAGGTAGAAGTAGAAGTAATAGAATGGTGGTAGGGCAATGACGGAGGTGATAGTGGCAGTGATACTGTTAGTAGCCGTGGTGATGGTGGTGTGATGGTGGGCTGAAGTGACAGTAATAGTGTGGTGACATTGGCAAGTTTTTAGTCTGAAAATTATTTTGTCTTTTAAAGATGTAAAACATTTTCTACTTGTATAGACTTATTTTATGTTGACCATAAAAAATATTTTCTACTAACTTCCATTTTTTATTATACCAAACATAAAAAAATATATAAAAAAAAAATTTTGTACAAACAAAACAGAGTGCTTGTTTTAGCATATCATACTATCTTCACACTAGGTAAGATGAATAAAAGAATTTGAGATTGAAAATCAAATAGTTTGTGTGGGGACATATTTTGTGAATGGCAACACGCGGCCAAAGTGACGCCGAAGTGTCAGCCGAGGTGCCACGTGCCTTGGTTATGATGCCGAGGTGATCTCAGCTAGATCGGGGTTATCTACGGAGATATCGAAATCCGAGATGAATGGATAAGGGACAAAAGTCTTAGAATGAAGGAGGACCTCAGTCTGGATAAAGATAGAGCTCTTAGGGAGTTTATCTTTATCTAGTTGGGAGTCCAAGATGAGCATTGAACCAAAGTCTATTGAAGCTAAGCTTCTATAGGGATCAGGTTAATGCTAGTTATAAAAGTAAGGCATCCTCGTGGGTCTAAGGTACGCTTTTTGTATTATGGCTAGTGAAGCACTATTTGCTATCTTTGAGAGATAACTGAGTACTAACTTGATCGTCGAAGTGCCCTCCGAGTGGACGAACCACCGCCGAAGTCTTATCTTTTTGTGGCAAGTTATTCGAGCGTGATCTATTTTGCCTGTGCTCTCTTGTTGAGTTCCTGTTTGGCAGTGTAGTTGAAAATCAGCACCCACAATTTGGCGCCATCTGTGGGAAACGTAAAGAGAATAGATGGCCAACGACGGACAGAAAGAAAAGATTGGGGGCGACATCCCTAGTAAGAGTGATAAAAGCGTCGATCTTAACGTTGATGAGAACAACTGTAATGAAGAACCTCGGGATAAAAATCTCGGAGAAAAGGACGTCAACCAAGAGGGAGACGCACCGAAGAAAGCATGTCAAGGCAGGTATTACAACGAAAGCGACCTCCAGATATGGAAAGATAAATGCCTAAGAATGGAGGACGAGATAAAAGGAATGGAAAACAAGTTGGCAGACCTACAATCGGTTGTCAACTTTATAATGCAGAACAACATCGTGCAGCCACCATTTCCATTGGAGGACATGCCGATTCCAGCAGCCGAGAACAATGCCCATAAAGGGGGACAGAAAACAATCCCTGCAGTCCCTCAGCATGACAGGGCAAAGGAGCATTCGCATCGGCCTTCACAGGAGGACGGACAAGAAGAATCGATGAGAGGAAAGTCTCAGAAAACACCTCGGGCCAAGGAAACTTATGTCAAGGAACATCGACATGTTTAAGGGAATGAGCTTTGTTTTGACACGATGAATGAAGGGAAGTCCAAGAGGACTCATAACGACACCGGTAGTAGCGCACCAAAAAGGCTAAAATTCGTTGGCAACCGAGCTCCTGGAAGGACTAAGAAGGATTTGAGGGACTACCTCCAGAGGAAGCGATAAGATGTCGACGTCACATCTCCGGTCAAGCCAATAATGCCATTCTCAGTAGAATTGGATAAGTTTGAGGCCCCGAAAAGGTTCCACATGCCAAGATTCCAAATATACGACGGCAAGTCCGATCCTAACTTTCACGTCGACTTATATTTGAACTCAATGGCACTGTATACCGGGAACGAATCGTTGCTCTGCAAGGTGTTCCCATCATCCTTTGAGGAAATCGCATTAGATTGGTTTCACAAGTTGCTGAAAGGAACTGTGAAAAGTTGGGAAGGCCTGGTCGAGATGTTTGTGGCCAAGTTCGTTACAAATAAACTGCAGCCATTGAGGGTAGACTCCCTGATGGCTCTGAGAATTGGCGAGGATGAAAGCCTTAGGGTTTATGCCAAAAGGTATTATGAGTTTTTCAATTGAATACCGGGGTGCAACTAAGAGTTGGTGGTCGTATCTTTTAAGAATGGCCTGAACGATGACTGTCTGTTTCAAAAGTCACTGGCAAAGACGCTGCCAAAAATCATGGAGGAACTCATGGCCAGGATCGAGAAATATGCAAGAGCTGAATAAGACATGCCAAGGACAAAGGCGTCGAAACAGGGGAAGAGAAACGGCTCGCCAAAGCGAAGTTGAGGTAATACTGGATATAATAGGCAAAAGACAGGACTAAGGGCTGCACAGGCAGTCACCACCGTATTCTGGATTTCAGTTTATAAAGTTTTGGAAAGAATCAGGAACCAGCCGTATTATAGAGCACCAGAAAAGATTCCTAGCGAATTCATGGGAAGAAACCTAGAAAAGCATTGTGCTTACCACAATGAAGATGGACACTTGACACAGGGTTGTAGAGTCTTAAAAGCACATTTGGAAGATCTGGTAAGACAAGGTCACTTAAGGGACCTAGTAGATGAGGCCAGAACAAGGAAAGAACAAGCAAGGCTGCCCTAGGCACCGGCAGCACCACCTCCACCAGCACCACAACCGCAAGCAAACGGACCTCGAGTAATCAATGTGATTCACTCAAAGGTCAATGAGAACGAGATACGTGGGGAGACTCAAAAGGTAAAACACTTACAACATGTGTATTAGGTCCAGCAAAAAAGGCCCAGGACAGACGAGTATCAAGGACCAATGGTGTTTTTTACTGAAACCGGCCTAGACATGGTGCAACATCCACACACGGATGCTCTGGTGATATCCTTCAAGATTGGAGAATGCCAGGTAAGGCGCATTCTGATCGACCAAAGTAGCTCTTGTGACATCATGTATGTCAGATGTTACAAGGAGCTCGGCCTTCACCGAGATGATTTGGAGCAATTCAACAGTCTAATGGTTGGGTTCAATGGAACGCCGATATGGCTCCTGGAAGTAATAAGTTTGGAGGTGCAGGCAGGCACCAAGAAGGTAAGTACAAAGTTCACAGTGATTGACACCCCCTCTCATTACAATGTTATCTTGGGGAGGCCATGGTTGCACGCAATGAGGGTTGTTCCCTCAACACTGCACCAGCTGTTGCGGTTCCCAACAGAGCATGGAATTGATGAAGTCAGAGGGGATCAGGTGCAGGCAAAGAATTGCTCCATGGTGTAGACACCCCAATTTTGACCGGCCCTAAAAGTTTGGCGCTTTCTTTTGATTACCCGATGATGACAAGTAGAATGTGTTTCTCACAGAATCCTCAATAAGAGAGATGGAATTTGAATTTTAATCCCAACCTTCACCATTATGGCCAAATTGTTTTAAAATACTAAATATTTTATTAGTTTAATATTTTTGTAATTTTGCATAATTTTATATAAAGTTATATTATTATATTATATGTTTAGTATTTTGGTATAAATTATATATTTTATATATTATATTAT